TTCATGAGGCTTCACTTGCCCATCACTATAATAAACTATCAATACATACCAACGATGCTACCAAAGGCATAAGAAGTTTGCAGATGTTGCTGGATAAACTTGACAACAAAATTTAATTCTGTAGCATGTGCATTTTACTTCCTGATTACCTCATTCTACATCCTATGTGACAACTTCCTGTTACCAGGCTTCAGTGTTTCTTAAAGTGACAGCACCACCTCACTGATACTTAAAGATAACCTAAATAAGAAATGAAAAAATGAACATAAAATTTGCTCATAACAATACAATTTGTTTTTTGCCTATCCAAACTAGTTGATTTTTTTTAATCATTTCTTGGCCAAAGTCATTAAAAGCTACTGAGGAAGGTGAAAAGAGCCACTTGCAGCTCTGGAGCCACTGGTTGCAAACATCTGATTTAAGTAATAAAAAAGCCAATTCTGATTGTGATGTTAGACAGTGGAAGATTTTTCCATCCATTGATATTTTTAGATTGCTTTATTGGAAGACGCTGTGGTGCTTCAGGGGTTAAGCACATGATCCCTGTATAGAGGCTTTGGTCCTTAATGTGGCAGTGACAGGTTGGTGACCTTTGCTGCATGTCTTCTCTCTCTCTAATCCTGGTTCATGTCAGCCTACTCACTAAAAATAACATTAAAAAAGAAAGCTAGAATTTAAGAAATCGATTATTTTTACACCAAAATATAAACAATCTCAAAATGGCATCAATATCATTGTTTGACATTTCAAAGAAGTTTGATATTAAAATATTGTCAAAATTACTTCATTAAAATCATTGACAGACATCAAATTGATGTCAGGTTGATTTACATTTTTGACTAGAATTATCACAATTTTATACCAGTATTTGATGTCAAATTGATGTTGAATTAACATCTTTTGCCTACTGGGTTATAAATGCCATTATTGTTTATGTGTGTGAGATTTACTTTTTGACTAAACAGCCAAGTAGACCAGAAAAACAAAATGATTTACTGACCAAACATATTTTTACCTGATAGAAAAAAAATAAATTAAGTTGCTCTCATATATTTTTAAGGAGCATATTATTTCACTAAGATATTATGCTAAATGCAAACAAAATTACAGTAAAAGGTCAAGTAGTTTTATTAAAGTTGTAATTCAGAATATGATTCACAAATGTGAAAATGCAAAAATACTGTTTTAATAAAGTGGCCATAACTCAAACTAATCGATAAACAGTAAACTATTTTCATCTGTTATAATGTCCATAGATAAAAGTACCGCCTTTCTTCCTATGGCATGGACTGTGCAGGACAATCTTTTAATCTTTGTGTTTGTGTTGATTAAACAATCATCGCCCTCACAGCATGGGTTGTTTATATTGAGCCTGAGACATGTTCATGCTGTGAATGTGGCATTTACTGCGTTTGTGTTCATGGATGTTCTCCAGGTTCATAGGCAGCGACAAATAACATGTATCTGTTCTCTATTTGCTGCAGATTGAGTTGCTCATTAGCTTAGCGTCTTCATCATAAATAAAGCAGACTCTTGTGAAACAGTTTTCCCAAAAGCACCATTTTTCTATTACCTTTCTCTTTGCCCCGTGGGTTGTAGATCCTCCCTCCTCCTCATCAACATGTTGTCTTTTAGAAGGATTGGTTGCTGGTGGAAAACAACAAAGTATACAATTTAGGAGAGAGCATTAAAAAAGAGAGGGAGGGAGGGAGTGACAAAATGGCAAAATGGCTTGCCATATCATGCCTCAGATCGAGGATGAGGAAGATCAGTGTTTTGAAATACTTTCATTTTGAATCCAGGTGAGCAGCAGGAAAAACAACAGGTAAGAGATTATTATTTACTTGACAGAATTATAGACGGTAAAATAAAGCTCAGATTTTCAGAATTATTTCAACAGTGTGTGATTAAAACGTCTGAAGACATTTAAGTTAAATTTTTTGTGTAAAACAATAGATTTTTGACGCAGATAGCTTAGTTAAACGTGGTGGATTTCCAGTTTGTCTACATCTTTTAAAAGAAAAACAGTGTAGGTCGTCTGTCACACTTTGTATGTGAAACCTGCACAAAAATGCAGCAAACAAGTTATATCGATTTTAAGGCTAAAATAATTAATGGGATTAAACGATTATTGAAATAATCGTCAGCTAATTTAGTAATCGATGAATCGTTAACTGGAGTATAGAGACTCTTAAAACATCCCTTTAGCTGACAGATAAACCCACTTAGAGCAGTAATTATACCAACATTGTAAACAAATATTTAAACATTTTGCCTTTAAGAAAAAAAAAACTAAAAACATTTGTCTGTCAGTATGCTCTCTCCAGAACTCAAGTGAAAACATTTTAGTTTCACCTGGTTTGATTTCCTAAAAAAATCTTCCTTGAGGAATATTTGGCTGTTCGATTATTAATCGAAAAAATAATCGACAGATTAATTGATATGCAAAATAATCATTAGGTGCAGTATTAATCTATTTATTAATTTGTTTTTAGATCTGTTGCCTTTAGTGTCAGAAGTAAAACTTAAACCAAACCGGAGCAACAAGAAAAACAAGCAGACAAACAGAAAGACCAAGGAGGAGGTTTTCTGGAATCCAGACAAACAGTTGGATCACATTAATGAAACAAACAGAATCAGATCAGAAAAACTAAAGTCTCTAATGAGAGCAAGTTAATGAATTTTATCAGTAAAACTTCACTTTATCACAGTCTGTTAGATTTTGATGACAATTGCAGTTTTCCTTGTTCCATTTATGACAAAAAATGACTTCCTTGTGTTTACATTTTCATTTCAATATTGAAAGCCAAGAAGGGTGTTAGAGTTATAATTATAAAATTATGCTACATTTGTGTGCTCTGAATCAATCAAGAGGGTCGTAGACTTTTGTGACCTGCATCCTGCTATCCTGTGATTCAATCATTGGGTCATGAGGCAAAGTCACACGGTTGCATCCTGCTGTGATTCAATCAAGAGGAGCATTTTGTCCTATGACCCAA